CTGGGTCCCAGTGTCCTTCGCTGTCCCCAGCCCTGGTGCCGTGGTCTGGTGGTCGTGGATCTGTTCGGTGCGGCTTTGTGCCAGATTCTCCGAGGCCCTGGTGCCGTGGTCTGGTTGCTGAGGATTTTGAGGGGCGGCTCCGTTCTGGATGTCCCTGGCCTCGGTGCTGCGGCCTGGCTGCGGTGGAGTTTGTTCGTTTCGTTTGGCCTTGTCCCAGACTTTCTCTGTTTTTGTTGTTGTGCCGTTGCTGCTTGGATTTCTTGCTCCTCACCAATTGACGTAGTCGCCGTCATGGTTGCCTCCTTAGTTTGAGATCAACCATCCTGTGGTGTTGGGTCTTCGTTTTGAAGAGACAGTGCCCCGCGTTCCTCGCCTCTCCTCTCCTCTCCTCTCCTCTCCTCTCCTCTCCTCTCCTCTCCTCTCCTCTCCTCTCCTCTCCTCTCCTCTCCGCCTCCTCCTCCTCCTCCTCCTCCTCCTCCTCCTCCTCCTCCTCCTCCTCCTCCTCCTCCCTCCTCCCTCCTGCCATACTTGGCTTTGCCCATTTCGGCACACCCTTCACGAGGATCGTGGCCCCATAGGGAGCTCTACCGAAGGCCCCAGTGGCAGGGTTCGTAAGGCGGCCCTAGGCCATCTCGGCACACCCCTCACGACGATCGCGGCCCCATTGGGAGCTCCACCAAAGGCCCCAGAGGCAGGGTTCGCATGGCGGCCTCGGGCGATTTCGGCACACCCCTCACGAGCATCGTGGCCCCATAAGGAGCTCCACCGAAGGCCCCAGTGGCAGGGTTCGCACGGCGGCTCGGGCCATCTCGGCACACTACTCACGAGGATCGTGGCCCCATCGGGAGCTCCACCAGGATCGTGGCCCCATAAGGAGCTCCACCGACGGGCCATCCCGGCACACCCCTCACGAGGATCGTGGCCCCATTGGCAGCTCCACCGAAGGCCTCAGTGGCAGGCTTCGCATGGCGGCCTCAGGCCATCTCGGCACACCCCTCACGAGGGTTGTGGCCACATAGGGAGCTCTACCAAAGGCCCCAGTGGCAGGGTTCGCATGGCGGCCTTGGGGCTTTCGGCGCACCCCTCACGAGGATCGTGGCCCCATAAGGAGCTTCACCGAAGGCCCCAGTGACAATGTTCGCATGGCGGCCTCGGGCGATTTCGGCACACCCTTCACGAGCATTGTGGCCCCATAAAGGAGTTCAACCGAAGGCACCAGTGGCAGGGTTCGCACGGTGGCTCAGGCCATCTCCGCACACCCCTCACGAGGATCTTGGCCCCATAGGGAGCTTCACCGAAGGCCCCAGCGGCAGGGTTCGCATGGCGGGCTCGGGCGATTTTGGCACACCCCTCACACACTTCGTAGCCCCATAGTGAGCTCTGAACGAAGGCCCATCCTTCTCGCGGCGCACTACTAGTTATGATGAGAGGGGCATATCCTGCGATTCTCGCGGCTGCATCTGGTTGGTTGGGCCCTTCGCCAGGTAAATTCCTGGGACTTTCGGTCATCGGCCCATCCCGCCACCGTGCCCGGGTTGTGTCTGAGGCTTCTTGATGTTCGTTGGGATCTTTCGGGGGCTTCCTGGAGGCAGTTTTGAGGTCTCGCGGGGCTGGTTCGGGGTCTCGGGGCCTTTTTTGAGCCTCTTTGGGGCCTCTTGGGCCTCCTGGGCGCCTCTTGCGGCAGAAGGCTCGGATTTCCGGTTTGTGTTCCCCCTTTGGGGCTCGTCTTGGGGCCGTCGTGGGCCCCTCTGGGGCCATGTTGGGCGCTTCATGGGGGGTCTTGAAGGCCTCTTGGGCCCTCTTGGGGCCCGTCTTGGGGGCCTCTGGGGCCGTGTTGGGGCGGTCTTGGGGGCCTCTTGGGACGTCTTTGTGCATCGGATGCTCTTAACATGGAGAACCCCCAAATCATAGAAACACCTTACGGACATTTGCGATTCTGGTCTTTTGGGACCCTCCTGGGACGCCTATTGGAGCTCTCTTGGGGCGTCTTGGCGGCCTCTTGGGCCGTTTTGTGACCATCTTGGCCGTCTTGGAATGCTCTTTCGGCGACTCGGGGCCCTCTTGGGCCGTCTTCGGGGTTCTGTTCGGGCCGGCTTGGCCCGTCATGGGGCTTCTCTCGGCCAGGAGAAGTCGTGCGACAGGCATCTACGTGCGCAAGGTGGCACGCCGGGAGCCGCCGGGGGCTGGCCGATAGCCCAAGAAGGTTGAGAGAGCTGGGGGTCTGGGCCCCTGCCCTTTACAGAACCTTCAGGATGTGGGACAGAGGCTCAGTGGTTGAGCAGGGGGCCTGGGGACACTCCACTTGGTGCCACAGGGGCACGGTGGCGGATTATTCGTTGGCTTACTCTGGGGTAGCAGCATTCCTTGTGCGGTGTGTAGCACTTTGCTTCTTTTGTTTTGTGTGTGTGTGTCTTTGTGTGTATATATATGTGTGTGTATGTATGTATGTATGTATGTATGTATGTATGTATGTATGTATGCATGTATGTATGTATGTATGTATGTATGTATGTATGTATGTATGTATGTATGTATGTATGTATGTACGTAAGCATGTATGTATGTATGTATG